CTGGGATGCGAACCACAGTCGACTACATGGGAGTCCAGCGACATAGCCATTAAGCTAACTGCTGGTCCCCCTCAATAAACTGTTTTAAAAATAAGAATTATTTATTTGGGGCCAGCAAGTGGCGTGGTGATTAAGGGCACTGGACTCCCACATGGTCAATCACAGTTCAAGTCTTGGACCTGGTGGCTTACTCTCACTCTCTGTTCCCCCTCTGGTCAAATAAAAATAAAAGTTAATATAATTTTTAAAAATTATAAAAAAGAAGAATTATTTATTTATTTAATTCTATTTGTTATTATTCTTTTTCAGTTTGAGCAGAGACAGAGAGAAAGGGAAAGCGAGAAAGCAAGCTGCCAGGTCCGGGACTCAAACTGTGGTCAGCCGTGTGGGAGTCCCAACGCCTTTGACCAACACATCATCTGCCGGCTCCCTCACTAAACTTTAAAACATGGGTCTGGCAGGTGGCAAGGTGCTGGACTCCAGTAAGGCCAACTGTGGTTTGAATCCCGGACCTGGTGACTTGCTTTCTCACTTTCTCTGTCTTTCCATGTGTCTCTCTGGTGAACACATGTGCCCTACAGCAAACTGTAAAATAATAATAAATAATAAATAGTTATTTAAAAACAAAACAAGAATCCAGATGGAGAATGGGGGGAGGGATTGTGGTGCGACCAGGCCCCACGGGGGGATAGTCTCTCTCTCTCTCAGGCATGTGCATGCTATCACGAATTTTTAAAAGTTAAAAAAAAAATAGGAAAGAGATTTCGGAGGGAAAACCGAAACGACTCATTTGCGGATTGACTGTGGCCAGTCAGGAGTGAGGACAATGGAATCAAGGGCCGCCTCAGTGGTGGTGATGCAGCAGGAACACCGTCCGCCAGGCTGGGCCCGTGTGGGGAGGCCCCGAGTCTGCGTCCCGGCTCCGGTGCCCACCAGGCACACCTGTCTGTGACCCAGGCTGGCTGGAGCAGGGTTGGTATCAGCATGAAGGCCCCGTTGGGGGTGCACCCACTCTGTGTCTCATGGAAGAAATAAGTAAATAAGAACTTAAAACAAATAATAATGAAAAGAATGATTTCCAGACTTGTGGCCTCGAGGGGGAAGGCAGGGGTGGGCCACCGTTCCTGAGAGGGCACAGCTGAGTGACAGCGCCGAGGGCTGGGCCCAGATTCCATCCCGGCCTGGCCTTGAGCCGGGCATGTCTAGGAATGTGGTTGAGGCCCTTAGCTCTGGGGCTTGAGCAGGAGGGAGAGGCGTGGGCCGGTATGTAGAGCGGGGAGGGGTCGTCTTGGAGTGGGTGTTTAAAACGGTGAGGTGGGGCCGGCAGGTGGCGTGGCGGTCAGGGTGCTGGACCCTCACATGTCCTACTGCAGTTCAAATCCCAGACTCAGCAGGTTGAGAGTCACGCCGGGAACGTGTGTGTGCGAGCCCAACATCCGAGGAGAGTGGAGAAGGGGTTGCGGTGGGGCCACCCCCAGGGTGTGATTTCTCACTTTCCCTGTCTCTCTGCCTCTCTCTCGCGAGTGTGTGCACCCTGTGGCAAAAGCTTAAAAACCGGGAGGGGCTGAGCTCACATGGGACAAAGGGGGCGGCCAGGTGGCTGAGCCAGGGCAAGGCGGCGGGCGGCGGTGTCACGGCGTGGCCCCTCCACGACAGCGCCACTGCAACTAACCGCCTGTAACACCCCCCAGTGGGTCAGGAACTGGGGAGTCGGGCGGCCACGTGGGTTTGAACAAGCCCTCCAGGTGAGTCTGCAGGCTCAGGTGAGAACTCCTCCCCAGGTGCACGCCTACATCATCAGCTACCTGAAGAAGGAGATGCCGTCCGTGTTTGGGAAGGAGAATAAGAAGAAGCAGCTGATCCTTAAACTGCCCGTCATCTTCGCCAAGATCCAGCTGGAGCACCACATCTCCCCCGGGGACTTCCCCGACTGCCAGAAGATGCAGGTAGGACCCTGGGACGGGGTCACGGAGGGTTCCGGGAGGCAGCCTGGGAAGCTGGAGGGATGATGGCAGACCCTGGAATGCACCTCTGCAAAAGGCTCTGTGAGAACATGGTTGCATGGCTTAGAGAGAGAAGAGAACCCCCAAGGTAATGATGGCTCAGTTGCGTTAGACGCTGGTTTTCTTCATAAACGGCCGGAAAGTGACTCGGGGCGGTTTGGTGCATTAGAAAGCCAGTTCTCTTCTGTCTTCTCTTCCATGCTTGTCTCAAGAAACCTCATGGTAACAAAGTAGCTGTAGAAAGTTCAGCCATTGTGTCTGCATTCCAGCCAGCAAGAAGAGGAGGAGAAAGAGGGAAGGATATAGTTTTTCTCTTTAAGGACAATTAAGAACTGACAGGAGCTTTAAACGCTGTTCTGAAGGAGTTACTTTTAGGGGCCAGCAAGAGGCATGGTTAAGGCACTGGATTCCCAACATGGATGACAGTGGTTCAAGTCTCAGACCTGGCAGCTTGCATTCTCAGTTTCTCTTTGTCTTGCTTTGGTCAAATTAAAAAAAAAATAATCATAATGAAGAATAAGCTTAAAATAGTTATTTTTTAAAAAAATGTAATTATTTATTGGGACCAGCAGGTGGCGTGGTGGTTAAGGCACTGGACACTCCCACATGGCCAAACATGGTTTGAATCCTGGACCTGGCAGCTTGCTTTCTCACTTTCTCTCTCTGTCTTGCTCTGGTCAAATTAAAAAATAATAAAAAAAAATGAATGAATAAATAAAAAATAAATAATTACTTTTTATAGGAATTATTTATTTTATTTATTCATTCATCTATTTGTTAATTTGACCAGAGAGAGACAGAGGTTGAGAGTGAGAGAGAGAGGAAGTGAGAAAGCAAGCCACCAGATTCAGGACTCGAACCCTGGCCAGCCATGTGGGAGTGTCCAGCGCCTTAACCACCATGCCACCTGCTGGCCCCTTAAAATAGTTATTTATTTTTTTAAAGTTACTTTTACTGTTCTAAAAACATGTTTCCAAATGTGATGACATCGAGGTTTACACACTTACATACTTCAAGAAACAAAACACAGTGAACGCCTTACTAGAGCAGGGCTGTCTCATGGTACTTCCCACAGTCATGGAAATGTTCTGTGCTAGACTGTCCGATATGGAAACCATGTCAAAACGGAATTTTAAGTTGTATTTAATTTTAACTTATTTGAGTTTAAATAACCACGTGTGGCTAGTGGCTACCATAGTGAACAGAAATTGAGCACGCAACTTGTGCTTTCATCCAATTGGCTGGAACATAGTCACATGGTCATGGCTGGCTACAAGGGAAAGTGGGACATGTAGTCTTTCTCCCATGTGACCAGGGGCCTGGTCCAGGGATTTCAGTAGTGAGAAGGGAGGGTTAAAGGATACTGGAGTGGGGAGACCAGCAGGAGGCCTGCACATCCGGGCCCTGCTGTGAGGTGCCCTGAGACTCCCAGGGGTCTGGGCAGACTGAATTCCGTCTCAGCCACTTGCTAACTCTGAACTTGGGCAAGGCCCTCACCTTTCCCGAGCCTCAGTTCCTGCCCTTGGAAGTGGGTTTGCGTTAGTATTGCTGTGGGTGCTGGGTCAGCAACTGTGGCAACCCCTTGGTGGTACCTGGCACACTCTGAGCTAGACGGGGTTTCTCAAACTGGGCATGGCTCACACCCCCGGCCACGTGTTAGGGTGGGGGACGGCAGGGTTAAGAGCCAGTGGGTGTCCCTGTGAGGCTGGACCTGAGGCTGAAATACTGAAATCCGCTACCAGCAGGTGTGGCCGCTGCTGATGGCCCTACCTTCCTCCCACCCAGGAAACCTGGGCGCCCAGGGAGGGCATGGGACCCCGCTGCCCAGGTGGTAGGGCAGGTCCAGTGCGCCAAGGCTCCCACTCAGGTTGATAAGAGCCGCCTCCCAACCTCCCAAGTGTCCTGGTGTCCCCTGCGGCTGAGGGCGTGGGGCAGCCCCTGACATGTCCGTGTCTCACCCCAGGAGCTGCTGATGGCCCACGACTTCACCAAGTTCCACTCGCTGAAGCCCAAGCTGCTGGAGGCGCTGGACGAGATGCTGACACACGACATCGCCAAGCTCATGCCACTGCTGCGCCAGGAGGAGCTGGAGAGCACCGAGGCCGGCGTGCAGGGCGGCGCGTTCGAGGGCACCCACATGGGCCCGTTCGTGGAGCGGGGCCCCGACGAGGCCCTGGAGGACGGCGAGGAGGGCTCGGATGACGAGGCCGAGTGGGTGGTGACTAAGGACAAGTCCAAATACGATGAAATCTTCTACAACCTGGCGCCTGCCGACGGCAAGCTCAGTGGTTCCAAGGCCAAGACCTGGATGGTGGGGACCAAGCTCCCCAACTCCGTGCTGGGGCGCATCTGGAAGCTGAGTGACGTCGACCGCGACGGCATGCTTGACGACGAGGAGTTCGCCTTGGCCAGCCACCTCATTGAGGCCAAGCTCGAGGGCCATGGGCTGCCCACCAACTTGCCCCGTCGCCTCGTGCCACCCTCCAAGCGGCGCCACAAGGGCTCTGCGGAGTGAGCCCGTCAGCGCTCGCGGGGCCTCCCCTGCTTGTCCTGCTGTGGCTCCCCAGCTCCATCGGCTGCACTCACATCCCTGCTAGGGCCACGTGTTCCCTGCCCGGCCACCCTGCCCTGCTGTAAGGACTGGGGGGGCATCTCCCTCTCCCCCCTAGACACCCCGATGGAAGCATTTAGTGGGGTCCACCAGAGGGCCAAGCTTCTCCGACCACCCTCCGCACTCCCGCGCTTGCACACTTAGGCACAGCACACCGACACTAACGCATAAGGCATCCGTCCATCCAGCCGTCGGCAGTATTTATTGAGCACCTACTAGGTGCCCAGCCCTGTTCTAGGCGCTGCGGATTACAGCAGAGAACACAAGACAAACATGCCCGCCCTCCAGAGCCACCTTCAGGAGAGGGCTCCTGCGTCATTACGCAAACGCACACAGATGCTGGGCGGGGCCCCTCGCCCCTCCCACGAATCAGCGCCTCCTGGTCGAAATGACTAACAGAAGCCCCCTATGCCCAGCCAGGCGACAATCCCCTACTCCATCATATCCTCAGGTCTTGGGACCACTGGAGGCTCAGAGGGGGAGACCAACCTCCGACTTCCTTATGTATCCCCCTCTTCAGCCCTCCTCCCATTGGGGGAATTCTCTGCCTCCTGGCCACGCCCATTTCTATAATACGGATCCCTCCTCCGGCAGAAGAGCGCCCTCCTTCCAACTCGCTCCTCCCACACCGTGCGGTTTGGAGGTATTTCTGTCCCCCGACCAACCAGCCCAGCCCCGCACTCCCGCAGCTGGTGGGTGAATCCTAGAACTGCCAGCCTCTCCCTGCACATCGGTCCATATTTAAGGAGATACGAAGTCCCCATGGCTGTAGTTTAAACCCTGTTTACAGGGATGTGGTGGTGGTGGGGAGTATTTCTTGGTGCTATAGCCCTCCCCCTCCCTAAAGGTGGGGTCCCACCTTTTCCAGCCTCCACTGCACATTAAGAGCTTGACCCCGATGGGAGACGCCACGGAACAGATGGGGAGAGCTGAAGGGTGGAGGAGGTGCCCCCGGGTTGTTCGCCAGGATTCCCACGCCCACCTCTGCCTCCCACCCCAGGCCTGGGAGGGGCCGTGAACGGAATGGTGTCCCCACAGAGCGAATAAAGCCAAGGCTGCTTCCCATGTGGTTGTCGGGCTGTCTTGCGAGGGGATCGCTCCCCCTCCCAGAGGAAGGGGACCCCTGGGCAGGACTCCGGGTGGAGTCTGACTCAACGCCGCGGAGCTCGGCTCGGTGACTCAGTCCTGGGCAGGGGGCCAGGCCGGCATATTTTCCGAAGAAAAGTTAACTCCGGGGCCCTCCCTCCGGGACATCCCTCCCAACCACCTCCTGCTGCGGGGGCCTGGGAACCAAGCCTTGGGGCGTGGGGTTGTATGTGTGTGTGTGTGTGTGGGTGTGTGTGTGTGGCGCGCGCTCACGGTTCTCATACGTAACACCAGGGACAACCGAGGTGTGTGTGTGGGGTGACACCAAGTGTGCGCGCACACCCACGGTGCCCCGGCCGCTGGCCCGCCACTCTGCCGCCCACGCACGCCCGGTTTCCTGACTCCGGACGCCCTCTGGTGGACACTCGGGAGACCCGTCGGAGGGGGTCGGTGCTCAGGTCTCCGAAGAGCCTGCCACCTTCCCCACACGGAGCACGCAGCTCCCCCCTTGCACGGCACTTTCCCTCTCTGCCTTTTTCCCTTAGGAATCAAGAATGGCCTTTATGAGGACCGGGATCTTTGGGATGGATGGCTCCTTCCTTATTTGTACATAGCAGAGGTGACTCACTGGGCTCTTGGACGGGGGTGGAGTGAGGCAGTAAGAACAGTAACAGTCGGATGCCAGGCCGGGCCTTCAGCGCTTCACCCACACCACCTCATTCCACATTGCGAATAATCTATGAGGCAGACGTACCTTTACCGCCCCCACCTTACAAATGGGGTAACGGAGGCACAGTGAGGTAGCCTGCCCAAGATGCATGGTTTTGGGGCCAGCAGGTGAGGTGGTTAAAGCGGTAGCTAGATTCCCACATGACCCACCACCCGGACCTGACAGCTCCGAGTCACACCGGTGGGAGTGCGCATGCCCCAAATCCCCAAAAGAAATGAGACTGGAAGAGAAAGGACTGGGCGTGGCCATAGGCGGGTAGGGGGGTGGTTTCACATTTTCCCTGTCTCTCTCCAGGGAGCACTAGCACTCTATTGCGAAAACCTAATTATAAAAAACTTCATGGTTTGAGCCTGAACTTTTGGTAACTTTGATAATGTATATAGTTTTAGAGGTATTTATTAATTATTATTAATTTGCTATTGGGTGCGTGTGCTCATCAAGGACCGAGGTGGGATGGGGGGAGGTGATGGGGGTGAGAAAGAAAGCCACCAAGTCCAGGCCTCCGTTGGCCATGTGGAAGTCCAGCACCTTAACCACCCCACCACCTGCTGGCCCCATATATTTCTAATATTCTCCCAATATAACGTTCCGTGATTCCAATCTCAAGGTTCCTAAATTTCTTCCAAACTTTTAGAACTGGAAACGTTCTGAAATTGGAACCAGTCTTTCTTTTTTTTTTTTTTAAGAGGTTTTTGCTATAGGGCGCCTGCGCTCGCAGAGAGAGAGAAAGACAGAAAGCGAGAAATCCCCCCCCGGGGGGGGGGGATGGCTACGCTGCAATCCCTTCTCCTCCATTCTCCTCTCGGGATCTTGGGCACACACGCACACGCGCCCGGCGTGAGTTTAAGCCACGGGGTCCGGGACAGGAACCGCGGTCGACTACAGCAACATAGCCATTACGCTAACTGCTGGTCCCGGAACCTGTCTTCTACTGAATCTGCCACTGACGATTCTAATTTTCCCTTAAAAAGAAGAAAGAGAGATTAAAGTTGGTTTACAGGTCCCGCTGCAAACCGGGGCAGGGAGGAACGCCTGGATTTACTCTTTACCAAGATGGCAGCCTCCCGGCCTCTTTGCCGCTCGGGTCCCTTTACCAAGGTGTCTGTCACAGGAAGTGCGTCACGGGAGAGGCGGGGAGATGTGCGCGCGCAAGCCCCGAACCGGATATCAGGGCCCCGGCGGCTGAAACCTTCCTTTAAACAAGATGGCGGCGGGTGATCGGAGG